TATTTTTAGTAGAGATGGGGTTTCACCATGTTGGCCAGGATGGTCTCGATCTCTTGACCTCGTGATCTGCCTGCCTTGGCCTCCCAAAGTGCTGGGATTACAGGCATGAGCCACCGCGCCCAGCCGGGAAATGTTTTTTCTAAGCAATAGATTTACTTGAAAACGTTAAAATTGTGTATAAAACTTAGTTAATGAAAATCTTCTATGACCTCAGTAAGAAATATTTTAATACTCCATGTGTATAAAACAGAAAAGGAAACCACATAGTCTTTCCTTATAAACACACTTAGAGTTCAGACCTACTCACAATTCCAGCTAATCTTTCTTTCAAGGATTCTTTTGTTAGAATAAACTGGCTACTTCTATTATGTACTTTTTCTTCTTAAAATCAGTGGGCTGACTCTTGCAGATATCTTGCAGCTATTTGTTTGTATTTTATGCATTCCTGCCTGCTATGGACAGAATTGTGCCTACCTGAAATTCATGTGTTGAAGACGTCCTCACTTCCAATGTGACTGTATTTAAAAACAGGGTCTAGAAAAAGGCAATTACAGTTAAATGAGGTCATAAGAGTGAAGAATTGATTTGATAGGATTGATGTCCTCATAAGTGGAGACAACAAAGAGCTTGCACTCTCTTTGTACCTTATAAGGACACAGAGACAAGAGGGCTGTCTGAAAACCTGGAATAAAGCCCTCATCAGATACTAAAGCCTCCTGGAAGCTTGATCTTGAACTTCACAGCCTCCAAACTGTGAAGAAAATATATTTCTATTGTTTAAGATTATGGTATTTTGTTATGGAAGTCAGAGTGGACTAATATAACTACCAAGTTAATCCTCACATCAGTTATCCTCAGTTGTATTTCCTTTATTAGTGGGATATAGCCAAACTTAAGAATTTGGATATTTTGATTCCAGGGATGTGTTATTATATAATTCTTTCATTATTTTCAGTAATATAGCTTTCTTAACTAGTACAAAATCTCAGCTCATGTCTGACCTCATTTTTATTTTTATGTCATTTTGAAAAAGAAACAATAATGAGTACAGTAAGTCTAAAATTTATTCTAACACCATAATGAATTTCCTGGCTTCTGTAAGAAAATAACTTTGATAGGATGAGCCAAGGACTCTGTTGGTCTTTCTTTCTTCCCTTCAGAGAAGCATTACGATTACCTGTCTGAGGGGCACCTCTGGCCCAGAAAACAGATGAATGAGTAACATCACCCAAGCCTAGAGACTTACCAGGAACTTCTTAACTCAGATAATAATGGCTCTCCACATTTCCATGCAATTTTTGGTGATTTATTTTGATTGTAAAATGCCTTACACTTCAGAAACAATGAGTCTAATCTCCAAGGGAAGAGATATGTTGTCTATGGAGAGATCTGCTTCTCATTCATGATGTCAAATTTTCATTATTTTAATTATTCATTTTCATTTAATCCAGATATATTTGACATTTGCTTTATTGTTAGAGAGATTAAAATATATTGTCTTTGATTAAAAACATCCACATGCATCTCAGAAATAGGTGTACACTGTGTCACCTGTGAATGTAGAAATAGTTATCTGCAAAGGTACATGCTTTTCTTGAGGGTTAAATAAAGAACATTCCTTAAATTAACATTTCCCAAATGAGTTCTATAGAAAATTAGCACTGCAGGATTTTCTTTTAGATATTAAATTAAGGAAGGATATTGTAGTTTAATATGTTTAGAAAACTCCGGGTTAAACAAAGTTAAATGGGTTTCTTGACTGCAATGTTTCTGATATTGTTTAAATGTTAAATTGCCTTGTGAGTTTCCAAAGGGAGCATATTATATGCAATATTTTCTGAATTTAATTTGATCATATAAACCTCTGTTGTTGTTGTTACTCCTGCTGTTGTTTATTTTCTGCTTTCTTTGCTTTCAGGTAAAGCATCGTCTGTTAGTGTTACACAGCATATTTTAGAAAATGCTCTTTATGTAAAGGTACGAGCCTTTTATATTGCATGAACATATGAAACTATTACTTGTTTTAAATCAATTCTTATTTTAAAGATTCATATAACATGAAATTCTAAGTAAATATCAAATGCAAATTTTGAGTACTCATACAGAGTCATCAACCTAAAGAGATATAAGAATCTACACTCTACAGCAGTGGTTCTTAAAATGCATTCCACAAACCAGCTGCCTCAGCATCACCTGGGGACTTAGAAAGACATTCTCATATCCCTTATCAGACCTTCTGGATCAGACATGCTGGGGTTAGGCCTGCCAATCTGTGAGTAGAGGTACAATAAGATGCAAAGTTAAACCACAGTTACACCTAAACATATACCAATCGAGCCCCTGTTCTAAGATATTTTTTAATTGCATGTTGCACTAAGTAAAGCAAACTCAACACTACAAAGAATATTTATGAAGAAAGTTAATCAGAATGTTTGGATAACTGATTGTTCCAATCTGTATTCTGTCACATTCACAATTGCTTTTAGGCATGGTTTTAATGCCCTTGCTCTATAAATACTCCATGAGACTCCTCAACTTTGAAATTACAACCTGCATAGCCTTCAGAAGTTCAATAAACATTATAGTGTAAAATCAAATTACTAATTAGGATAGTCTTGAAATAAACCATAACTTTCTTTGAGAGGACTCTTTAACATTTCAATATAAAAAATAAGTAGAATTAACAATTTCTGACTTCTAGAAGAGAGTCAAAAAATCTTTACACTAGCTAGGGCCACAATTCACAATTACAAACACTATTCCATGTTAAGGGAGAAGGACTCTGGTGCAATCAGTTTCCATAGCAAAGCATGAAAATTAACAAAACATAGGAAAAAAGTATAGACAAGTTTGTTCCCTATCATTTAGAGGTCCAGAAGATAATTTATCCTGAGTTGTGACTAACAGAAGGCTTTCATCCTACTTGGTTACACCAGGGTTGCAGCATAAAAATAATTGACTTTTGGGTGTAAGGAATCAATAATCCAATATTTTCTTCTTAAGCACTTTGTTGAAATATCATTGTCTTTTTATAAAAGCATATATAGATACTGTTTTATCTGAAAACTTCCTTGACCCTTCATACAACATTAAGCCTGAATTTTAGTAGATGTTTCTAAGCCTACTAATGTAAATTTGATTTGGATTTTTGTTTGTTTGTTTTAATCATAGATTTCTGGAGCTCAGTGTCAACTTGTGCTGGCATATGTAAATTAGATTTTAAATAAGTTCTTTGAAAGTTTTCATATAAATAGGACACATCATTTTTTATAATACTATCTGTTTTGCTAGTAGTTCACTTATTTCTTATTAACCTTGAGGCAACTGTTGGGCAAATATGGCAGCTTTAAATAACATGAAGAGTCTTAACTATTTATGAATTTTTTGGTTATAAGAAACAGAATTAAAACCGGAGCTGACATCAGCCAAATTTGATGAAGATTTTTCATGTGTGACTTCTCATAACTCAACTCTGGAAGGGGTGGTGTGGTGGGTATGGTATGTAGGGGGCATTGGATAGATGGAGAAGATGAGAAAGGTTAAGAGAATCCTTGTAATTTGGAAAGACACCGAAAAAATCCTTGTAATTTGAGAAGAAATACTCCAATCTATTGAATAATTTCTAAAAGTAAAATCATAATACCAGAGAATTATCTTTAATTTTTAAACTCATACTAAATTCATTCTACTTGAATGATTAAGAAAATATATGTAACCCAGGTTATAAATATTAGGAAGAAAGATACCAGAATTCAACAGCACTAGCCCTGTGTTCCAACATGAAAAAAATCTTCCCTCCATTGAATTTTTCTTTAATATGACATACTATTTGTATCATTTGGTATAGAATTTAACTTCAAGGTTTACTTAAAGTGGCAGTAAAACAGAATGTCTTTGAGGGAGAAAAAATAAAACAAAACGTGTTCAGTACTCTCTGCTAGTTTGCTGTGATGTGATGGTATTTACAAAGCTCTTTTATTATTACTTCAGCAGAATTTGGAATTAAGTGGATGGCAGCTATTAACTTGCTTCTGGAACAACTCAACACTGCCACTATATGTGAGCCTTCCTTAAAATATGAAAGTTATCCAAATAAAGAGTGAAATAAATTTATAGTATCACTTAGTTTTTTTTTTTTTAAAAAAAAACAGGCAAATAACACCAGTGAACACATTAAGAGAATGTCCATAGTTAAATAATTGCTAAGATATAGTATTACAACACTAAAGAAGTTGAGAGAAAATGTCTCAACTGAGGTGCATTCAATGATCTCCTTTGTTAAAAAATAGGAGACATCATTTATCTTTCTAGACAATAATCATTTCCACACAGTTCTTTTACTTCTATAAGATCCGACAACTTCTAACCTTCCATGTATACTTACTTTTTCTCATATTGTTTTATAATTTTATTATAGCAAGGTCACATATCTCTGAAAATAATTGTGAAATGTATTGGGGCATTCTCATGCTTCTAATAAAGACATATCCAAGACTGTGTAATTTATAAAGGAAAGAGTTTTAATCGACTCACTGTTCAGCATGGCTGGGGAGGCCTCAGGAAACTTATGGTCATGGTGGAAGAGGAAGCAAACATGTCCTTCTTCACATGGCTGGAGCAAGGAGAGGTATGAGAACCAAGCTAAGGGGAAGCCCCTTATAAAACCATTAGACCTTGTGAGAACTTACTCACTATCACACTATCACGAGAATAGCACAGAGGTAATCACCCCATGATTAAGTTAACCCCCACTGGGTCCCTCCCACAACACATGGGGATTATGAGAATGATAATTTCAGATGAGATTTGGGTGGGGACATAGCCAAACCATATCAGGTATAAACCACATCTCATATTTCTTTTCTACACTTCATATCTGCCTTCCTATCTGACCATGGAACACACAGAAAACACTTGATAGATACCACTTGATTCTTATTGAAGTGCCTGATACAGACTGGAAGCATTCCATAATACAAATACAGATAAAGCACTCTACATTAGGTGGGCTGTGGTACACCAACCACAAAATAATATATTTATTTTTCAACATTTTTTTCTTTTATTGATAAAAACTACACAAAAGCTAATTGATAATCAATTAAAAAACAATGTTACACATTATCTTGTGTTTAGAAATTTGTCAGCTTGGCAGTCTCATTCATTGAGCACATGGTCATGGCTCTTTTATAGCCTTAGTCCACATGAGAATGATTCTGCTGATCTTGTCATTCAGAAATCTTCAAGGCTCTCTCAGACATCCGACACAGTGAAGGCTGCCAACTGGACAAAACAAAACTCCTTCTATCATGTACCACATATGGCATTTGTCATGAAGAGTCATTCACCCAGACTTACTGAGTTTTCTTTCCAGTAGTTTTATCAAACTTTGTGGTCAGCTTTCTCTGTGGTCCGTGGTAAAACGCATTTTCTTTTGATACAACATAAAGTTTAATGCTCATGTTTTGTATTAGAAACTTGACCAGGAAAAAAAAAAAACAATTTAAAACAAACAAAACAAGAACAAACAGCATTTTTAAAGAAAAAAGAAAATGAAAACAATTTAAATAAAATCTGTGAGAGTTACAAATACCTAAAGAGGAAGCCTGTTGTTTACCCAACTTCCCGCCCACCCCTGTTTATTTGCCCTCCTGTGGTTCTCCAGCCCAGGAACCATGCAGTGTAGAAAAATCAAATATACAAACAAACCTATACGTAGCTAGGGTGAAATCTATTTTTATAAGAACTTGACACTCTTACTATTTACATCCGGGAGCATTTTTGTTCATTTATGTTTTAAAGCAAAGAAAGTTCTGCAGTTCTCCCAGTTATGCTGCAGGTGCATTTGCTACCCTTTTAAAGCAGTTTGGTTTTTTATCTTTTCCTTTTCTCTATGCCATAAATGTTTTAACAGGAACGATGAGCTTGCTTGATTGCACGATTTCAGACACCCACTCTCCTTTAAGATGAAGGCCCTCCCTCCCCCCGTGGAGTTCCCCAATGAGGAGTTGGCTTCAGCGTTAGTTTGCAATTCTCTCAAGGTAAATGGCCGGTGCTGCCGACCTGGCGATGGTGGCGATGAAGCTGTGGTCTTGCCCTAGCTCCATGCCGGGGCTTTCATCTTGCTCCAGAGACACTGCCTCATAGCCCTTGGTGACATGGAGAGGCTGGTGGGCCTGGCAGTACCCAATCACAGGCTGGTCATAGCTGTAATATGGCAAGGGCTTCACATGGTGTGGCATCTGGATATGAGAAACAGAAAGATTGGTTGATTATAAAATTGCTTTGGAAAGATTGGACAACACTCATCAGATTCTATTTTTGTTCTTTTTCATGCCATTTCAAGTCAACTACAGATTCAACTACAAATAAACATTAACAAAATAATGATTACTATATAACTCAATATTGCTTTGTCAGCATATTATGTATATATACTTTGTACATAAAATAAAATATGTCAAGTTTTCATTGCTTTAGCTAGCTAGCCAGCCATTGCAATAACAGAAAGTTAGAAACAACCTAAATGCCCCAGGAATTTTAAAATTGATTATGCAGATCCTACCTTTGAATGCAGACCTTAAAATTATAGGGGAAGATCTCTGTTGTAATATGGCAAGATACAGTATTAAGTAGAAAAAAATTCAGGTGAGAAAGAATATATAGTATGATCTATTTTTATTTATATATATAAGCATATATGTAACTTTCTATTTGAGATCTATATACAATTGAAATCTTTGCTATCATCATACACAACTTTTATTCAGTTTCAAAAAACAATCGCAATTTCCCATAGATTATTTCTAACACTTTATTCCATAACAATACTAGACCAAAGAACTCTAAAATCATGGAGAAGTCACATCTTTATGTTTATAATATGTAATATTATTGGTTTTCAAGCCAGCAAGCCAAATGGGTGTCTAATGTTAGTATAATAAATCTAAAAAATGGTCTGCAGAAATTCCATTAATATAAAAAGCAGACAATATCAGTTATAATAATTTTGAATTTTGGTGGAGCATTTTATTAAACCACAAATTTCTGATAAAGATAAATGTATTCCAAATTCAGAAAAAGGCAAATGGATGTTTGCTTACTTCTTGTTCTCATGCTAGCATATTTCTCATACTTGCTAGATACAATTTGACACTCTTGATAAACAATCCACAATGATAAAAGTACAAAGGCCCCACTGCCCTCTCAGGTTAGAAGGTGTGGCAGGTTTTAAACTGATGACTCTCAGCTTTGACTTCCCTTCTGCGGTTGCTTTTAGAATGCTGAGGTTGGGACTTTGCAAACCACGTATCTGGTTTTTTTTTTTTTTTTGTGGTTTTTCTGTTAGGCTTTGCCAATGGAGGGAGATGGCAAAGCTTAGCAGGGAGAGTGGAATTGCTCCCATTGTCGGTTTCGTCTTTGTTTCTTCATTCTAATGGCATTCTTCATTCTGATGGCATTCTTCTTTCTGGCTATATCAGTTTATTCCCATAGCAGCAGGTGCTGCCTATTTGCAGTATTTCCAACATTTGCTGTATATTCAATGTTTGATCTCATCAACCCCTCCTCAGAGATACTAGCACTAGCATCAGAGAGGTTTGGGGTCATCACCACAAAGCCTTTCCTCCAAGCTTAGAAGTCTTAATGATCTTCATTTTGTTCCCTTAGCCCTGCAAGAGGTTAAGGGTGGTAGCTACTTCCTAACATTGCTGTTTCTGTGATACCATGGCAATATCTTAGCCCTTGCACAAACTTAGTTCATAACTCTATATCCAGTTAGCATCATTTCTAAAAATTCTTTCTTAAAAAGTAACATATTGTATCAGTTAAGAATTCTATGTCTTTAGCATTCTTTCCAAAATTTCTTTCTTAAAATTACTGATATTTTGTCAGTCTTCCGACTGAACTATGTTTGAATTCTTCTGTATCTAAAAGTGCAGATACAGTTGTTTTGATTTTATAATTTATTAGAAAATTAAGCACCAAAGGTCTTATCGCTCTCTATACTGTAGGGAGTTAACCAGCCTTAAAAACAATTTAGCAAACTTATTTTTAGAAGTCATTTCTCTGTTTACTATGCAAGTTCCTCAAATGCTCTTAAAACTATCTCTAGTATTTTCTTGATGGCATTTTTACTAACATGATTAACACAACTTTGACACAAATTCACTGTCTATTTGTATAATAATTATGTTTTTAACACCTGTTTGCTTATTAAGATGCAAGTCACCTCCTCACAGTTTTTAAGATTTAGATTAAAGCAATGTTTTCTACGGACAACTACAACTCATTAGTAGGTATGAAATCAATTTAGTGAATCCAAATAAGCATTAAAAAATTAAGTTAGCTCGAATAGAAAGTATCAGAGTACAGAGTAAGGACAAGTTGTTTCATGAGAGTTTTGTTTTAAATTTATGTGTGTGCATTCCTAATTTTGAAAATTAGGAATAGAAAAAAATGTTTTTGAAAAAGACTTGGTCAAAGCACATATTCAGATTACGATTTATTTACAGTGATTGGCAATATCTAGATAAATTCTCATTCCATTTTTACTATTCCTTCTCTATTAACTCATATATTTCACTGTTTTTCACAATAAGTTGGATAATTAAGTCAATAGGTAATGCTTTGTTTCTGTTTTGTTGTTACTTTACTTCTAAAGGAAGGTAAAAACTATTTTCAGGAAGTCTTTTACGAAATAGTAACAAGAGTATTTCTCATCGAACAAGCTATTGATAAAATCTTGAATATACCATTTTATTATTTTAAAAAGAGAGTTGCAAAAAATTCATACTAGGTCAGAGTTATGATTCATAAAGAGACATTTAAAAAATTGGACCTTAATTGCTGTGCTGACAGAGAGACCTATGAGCAGACTATAAGGTGATGTGCCCAAATCACTAGGTACTAAATAAAAGTTAGGTCTACTCTACCTCACCCCAAATCTATTGTTTTGTTTTGTTTTGCTTTTATTATTTCTTATTCAGTGAGACCTCTTTCAATAAGTACCAGTTGACACGTAAAATGTTTATCAGCGGGTTCTATTTTAGGAAATCTCATAGAATTTTTTAGTGTGTCAGATTCCTGGAGATATGTGTGATTGGTGTCATGGGTCACTAAAACTCCAAGAAAGCATAGAAATGTAAGAAGACACTTTGTGCTGACATTTCAGCAGGGAGAGTGTTTTGAAAAAGGACTTCCTAAGGGTAATACAGCCGATTTGTACTCTCTTGTTAATGGGTGAAGTAACATAACTTGAAAATCACATAAAAATTTAGCAACTTATTTTCAAATGGAAACATTCACTGAGTATAGAACATTTGTTCTACACTTTCACTTAAAGAAATGACTAATTTTCTACAAATTAGCCAAATTACTAAAAGATACCAAAATGAACATTAAATGTGAGTTGTGGCTCTGTTCACAGTAGCACTGTCAGTGGTCTTCACGAAGCGGAGCTAATTGAATTCATAGACATGTATACAACAGTGAATGTGAGAGGAAGTCAGGGCCTTATGGATCTTTTTGCACAACTAGGTGACTTTACAGATGAAAATAAGTAGCTCATAAGTAACATTATTGAATTTGCAATGTTTACTTAAAGCCTTTCAACTTTACCTTTAGTGGGAGAGAACAATTTCAAAGCTAAGAAATCATAGCATTTCTCTTCAAATTAAGTTAATTTAAATGTCAAGGGACCTGCATTAACTGCAAAGCTTTAGCTTTATATATTACATCATTTCCAAACTCAGAACATTTGTTTTACTATTATAGTGGTAATTTATTTTTTTCTACCACTAAAAAAAGGGGCTCATAACATTTTCTCTATTGTAACTGAGACAGGCTTAAAACCTCTTGCAGGGTAAAAACCATTGTAAAGTTCCCTCCTTCACAACAGACCAACAGCAAGAATTCAAGAACCAAGTAAACTGGCGAGCTTTGAAAGAATATCGAAATGTTTGCTCTTTTACTCTTTAAGTCTATTCCATAGGGCACTATGTAATCAACTGAATTCCTAGTTTCTGAGGAGCTTAGAGACTGAGGTCTTATACTTTATAGTAATAGTGTACAGTACATTAACCACCTGGGCCCCTGTGTGTGTCATTGTTACCTTTCCAGTAGACAAAACAGAGTATCCTTAAGTTTTGCTTAATTCAGATTTGGTATTTTTGTAAATGTGTTCTCAGAGCCTCTCAAATGGTTCTGTGTTCCATCAGCTCTCTGATCAGCTTTACTATATAACACAGCAGAAAAACACTATTTAAAGATGTCCTCGTTAGCACACTTGACTACTTCTCATTGACTGCACTGGAAGCTGCACTTTATTTACAGATAATGGGTGTGGAGCATAGGATTTAAAAATCACTTAGAGAAATATATTCTACTAAATTCTGCCATTTGCTACTCTGAAGTATATGAGCATTTTCACATAAATCACATTAAATTTTTCTTTCAAACAGAGATCTTTTATAACTAAATCTCAAATAGGTTATGAAGAGGAGGAACCATTATGGCTAATTATAAGTCACTTCAATCCTCTTGAGCTTCAGGTAACTCCTCTGAAAAGGGATAATAGTGAATACTTCCAGGGTTCTCTGAACTCTATAAATTTCAGAGAACTCTAAATATATTCCCCCCTGATCCTGAAAAAAGAAGGAATACATTGAAGGGACATAGTCACACTCCAGTTTTACTCAACACTGACAGTGTCTTTCTTGAAAGGTGATATGTCTTTTGTCTTACAGTTTCCATTTAGAGAGATGCACACACAGGATGGGTCACAGATTGACTCATTAACAAGCCTTTCAGTCCTATTTTCTGAGGTAAGAAGCTCAGAAACCTTTGTGTATATTCTGGTTTTCTAAAAACATCATTTATCATTTGGCCAGAGGATGTTTTTCTTCAAAACACTAACGAAAGTAAAAAATGGCACTTTTTTCAACGATTGGGGTTCATAATGTTAGTGATTCAAAAAGAGAAGTCAGGGAGAGAGCATATTTTTCACTGTTGGGAGGAAGGGTAAAATTATAGAGGACTTTGTGGAGTTTCACAATCTGAAAATTGATTTAGATCTCATAATTCTACATCTATGATAATTATATTTAAAATGAGAACTGAATGTGTCTTATAGTAGATTTGAGAGCAATGTGAAATGGACTCTTGATATATGTGATCACAAAAGGCTTTTGAAGTTCAGTTTTGTTATAAGCATGAAATTCCAATATTGTGACCCTCTTTTCTCAAAGGTATTAGCATTAGTTGTAAGTCATGTAAGAGCTGGATCATTCTAAAATTACCATGAACTATCATTAGTCTTATTTATTAACTTTTCATGAACATTGTTCACATTTCAGCATGAGTTCTTTCAATTGAAGTCATAAAAAGTTGATTTTCAATTTTCTAAATGACATTTGGTCCCTAATTTTCAGAATTAAAGGATAGTGTCTAACTACTTAGGCCATTTACAAAGTACCAGCATATAAATCCAGATGAAGAATTCAATTGCTTAATGAAGACAGACACTTTGCTTATTGAAAGTAAAATTAATTTTAAAATGAAGGTCAATAGCTAAATGAATATATCTTAGCCATTAGATATTCTGGCTATATTAGTATGTGACAAGAATGTGCAAGGAAAAAGTACACGTAAACAAGTTTGGGTCATGATTTTTGTCAGGAACTTTGATTAAACTGATGGAACCTCAACTCATTTAACTAAGACAAAAGGGAAATTTAATTGGCTCACAGAATACAAGAAAGAAAATTTAATTGGCTCATAGAATACAAGAAAGGACATAATGGCTAAACTGAAGGATGAACAAAGATACCACTGAGTATCAGGAAAAACTGAACCTAGGAACACAAATGTCATCAGGGTTCTGTCAATCCAACAGGCCTGATAGTTTCAGGCTGCAAAATGACTGCCTACACCTGACAGACACGTAACTGTGACAGCTCCCAAGTTTTACCTATTCCACTCATGGTAGATTACATTATGGCTATAGTTATTTCTAGGTCCCCTCACAAAAAGGTGTGATGTCTACTTTCCTTTACCTAGAATACAGGCTAGGCTTGTAATTTCTCTTGGCCAATAGAACACAGTGACAGTGACATTGTGTGAGTTCCAGGTACCTAACCTATCTAGCCATTACCTTGTGAACATGCTTGGGCTATTTTGCCAGAGGATGGAAGCTATGTGGGGTGACTATGGTATCTTAGACCAGCCAGCCTCCCCTAGAACTCACAGGAGCTCATCACAAGCACATGTGCACAACAGCAAAGTCCACAAAAGTCCCTGGATAAGCAGAATTGCTCAGCTAAGCCTAGCTCATCTTGCCAACACCCACAGACTCAAATGTACATTGTTGTAAGCCAATCAGTTTGGGTATGGTTTGTTATACAGTAAAACCAACAGAGCAGCTTCTCTTACCAAGAGGTACTGTATTATGGGGTCATAAAATATATGAAAAAGTCTTGATTATTTTATCTTAGTAGTCTATATACCTGAAACATTTACTATACTTACAATGTTCAATATATATATAGATTAATTTGAATCAACTTATCAGTTCTGGTCATGGGGAGGAAGTTTTGCAAGGATAAGACAGCTCCCAGACAACCAAAAACTGATTATTCTGATGACTAGAAAAGTTATTTTACAACACTATTTTGAGAAATTACCTTGAGCTCTAAAGGTAACTGTTTTGGAAAACCAAACACTGCATGTTCTCATTCATAAGTGGGTGTTGAACAATGAGAACAATGGACACAGGGATGGAAACATCAAACACTAGGGCCTCTTGGGTGGTGGGGGGCTAGGGGAGGGATAGCAGAGGCTGGGGGGATTGGGGAGGGATAACATTAGGGGAACTACCTAATGTAGGTAACAGGGGGATGGATGCAGCAAACCATCATGGCATGTATATATCTATGTAACAATCCTGCATAACCTGCACATATACCCCAGAACTTAAGTATAAAGAAAAAGTTAACTGTTGTGTATTAAGATGGAAATTTGAGTCCTGATCTTTAATTACTAACTCCAATTTACCATTCCAATTAACTTTGTAAAATGTTTTTATTTTAGAAAATCTTAAAAGGAAAATAAGAAGATAATAGTGCAAATTGATGCCTCATTTCCATTTATTTTCTTATGGGCTAAAATGCATATAGTAGATGGAGCATGTAATATGCACAATACTCAACATACTAGATGTTGGCTTTTTATAATGATTGGACTATTCGGACAATTTTAAACTTTCATTTTGACAAATATTTCTCTGTAACGTTTGTTTGTCTTGTCCTATTGTTATTTAGAGGTGGGAATGTGTACTATATGTGCACTCAACAGTTATTCAAATTTTAACTTTTAAGCCAGTAAGGGGATAACAGAACTGAACATCCACTGCATCTTTATTGCTCTCCTACCAGGATTTGTTTCCTAGGAGGTGCCCAGAGAGTTGATTAAGTTAATGAATGAGGTACTAGCCATCTTTGAAGTTAGCTTTGACTCCATTAACTGGGAAGCTTATTACATTAGCAGCACTCTCAGCATTCAGTGAGGTTTTAGGCTAATGAGCTGGATTAATTAGCTGATATTAATTTCTAAAGGTTTTCCTTCTGCAGCTTGGCCCCTAAATTAGAAAAAGTCTCCCCAACAGTGCATTGTAAGCAAACACCCTATTTAAGTGAATTTACATGAATTTGCCTCCAAAGTACTTAGTAAAAAATAGAGATGATAGAATTTCCAATCACATAACTTTCTTCTCTAAAAAAAAAAATATTGTAGAAGTTTTACTGATATACAGAAGACAAGTTTCTCCTAAAATGGAAAACAGTGATTATTACTTGGCCCCAAATTCCCTCCAGGAAAATTAAAACCATACAAAAGTAAACAAACAGAAACAAATCCTATCAGCCTATACAACAGAGTCAATTCAAGATATGTTTGTTTTAATCCCTTCTCAGCAATTAGAAAAAGGAAATGAAAGCAGGAATGCCACTACTAAGAAGGTATAATCAGCATTAGGGAGTTTTCCATCCAAGTTCACTTGCAGTTTCTCCAATATTCAGAGTAGCCTATTTTAGTTTCCATATCAATTTGTGTAGTCTTCTATTTGGATCTGTATTAAACCCTTTCTAGTGCCCTTACCGTGTTTTACCTAACAACATGTATCTTGCCTAAACAGAATGCAACTGATTTGTTTGCCTTTTGAAGATTTTGAAGATATACTCACTTCGTGACCTTCCCAATGCCTCCAATCTGACAGTGTTGTTGGCATTCAGTAAAACCTAGGAAATTAGTTAACAAATGTAAATATGAAATGAAATTCACATGTAACGGAGGTGATTGAGTTTCTTTTAGTCATGTATCTCTATAAAGCAGAATTGCATATCCCATGGCAAAAGTTTAGAACTTACAGACAGACACAGAAGGAAGAACACTGCAGAGGACATAAACCTGCTTGATAAAGTGAAATGATTATCATGATTCTAATAGAGTTTAAATATAATTTCTTGGAAGACTGGCTGGTCCTCATGAAAAGAGGCATTGAGATGTAGAGGAGAAGCCCATTTAGAAAACACAATTAAAATTGTTATTCTGATTGAATGTGTTTTAGAACAGCATGGCAAAATGATTCATAAATAACACTGGTCACGTATTTTAAATAAAATTGTAAAAGTCTAGGTTAATGCCTGGATCTCTGCCATAGAGTGTATACTATTAAGGAGTAATTATACGAAAGTGAATTTGCCATAATAGTTCATATATTTATGCATCATTTCATTATTCCCATGGTAAATATTTATCGCAGAGGTTGGCAAACTTTTTCTCTAAAGGGTCAATAGTAAACATTTCAGATTTGCCACCGATACAGTCTCCATCGCAACTAGGGAACTCTGTAAAACCACTTAATTCTGCCTTTATCATGGGAGAATAGGCTTGGGCAAAACATAAATGAATGAACATGGCTGTTTCCATAAAACTTTATGGACACTGACTTGGGATTTCATTTAATGTCCATATGTTAAAAAATATTTATTTTCATTTGATTTTTTTGTTTCTTACCATTAAAAAAACTAAAAGCATTTAGGTTGTGGGCCAGTTTTCTTTGAGTTAGGCCTTGTGCTAGGAGCTGGGTATACAAAGAAGAATAAAATAAGGGTGCTGTACTCAAGAGTTTATTAAGAACTGACAGAATGAGACAAACCTAATTCCACTTCCCTGTGGTTTACACTGCATAATACAGATCAGTAAAGCCGAGGTAGAAAAGCACTCCCAGCTGGTGGGCATTGCAGGTTTCACTGTGAAGATCCAGGTCTTCTCAGGAATAAAGCTCTCAGTGCATCCCAGACAATGAGCTGGACTCATGTAACCTTGGTACTTGGAAGTCAGACTTCAGCCTTCAGGAGGGAGTGCTAAAGTCACCATTCAGGTCATTTAGATCAAACATACTCTGGTAGTATAAAAGCCCACTGACCTTTTAGAGATGATCTTACAGGGACAATCTTAAGCCAGCAAACCTGCCCCTGGGTGTATGATGGCTTATAACTCAAGGCCTGGGAGAACTGGTGATTTTGTAAAAGAGGTCAGGTTCACGAGTTATCTAATCATAAACAGGGCTTTCTCCCCGCACCCCCGCCCCGATCTATTGTGTATATGTATGTGTGTAGATGTTAAAAACAAGCCTTTATTTTATTTCTCAATTTCACCAAGCGTTTTCCTCCTATACCTGGACTTTTGTATTTACTATTCTCTTTGTCTGGGATCTCCTTTTTCCCCTCCTCCCTTTTTTTGCAATGGGCTTGAGTTTCAGAGTCAATATCCTGTTTCTACAGGGGTCTTCTCTAACCACCTGTTTAAAATGCCACCCCACCCTGATCCACATGTGTAAACCATTTCCTGTTTCAATTTCTTATTTTCTTCATAGCATTAAAAAATGTTAAATTTTCTTAATGATGCTTATATTTCTCCTTTACTAATAGTTTATGCCAACGTAAGCTCCATGATGTCAGATAACTTTTATAACTAGTTTGCTTCTGTGTGTAGAATGGCTGCAACAAATATGTGATATAAAAATGTATGAATTTGAGAGATATTTATTAGTGAATTGGGTTGTATCTGGAAGAAGTTTACCTCTATAGCTGTGAGCGTCTCCCTTTCCTTTTCCTTTCTCTACTATCTCCCACCCATTCTTACTTTCAAATTAAAACAGGGGATCTAGAATCCCAGGTCATTTTAAACCTACAAATATTTGCATGCCTGGCATTTCGATGAAAGCTAAAGATATTAGAATGACTAAAGCTGTCCAGAACCTTAAGGAACCTGTAGCCTAATATGAAATACAAATGTAAGTGGATTTTTGTAATGTAACTTCATTTGTGGTGAAATGCTATACTGGAGATGTGTCAAAAGTGACAAGGAAAGAAAGAAGAGGAAGGGAGATGACTATCAGGTTGTTTCTGAGCCAAAGAATGGGTGCTTATGAAGTCAGCAAGAGACAGACTGGTGCTCGTGTAGCTCCCATAAACAGCCAGCACCTGTGCTACTGCTGCCCTGGTCACTGGAGACATATGTACAAGCAGCCTACAACCCAGGTGGTACTTATTGAAAAGCTACTCATAGTCCAATCTCGGTTTATCTAACTCACCCACAACTTGCCCGTGTGTAGAAGGGAAACTCTTCTATCACTTTAGCCATTATACTTGCCAGCCAGCCCAACACTGACTTAGCTTTTTGAAAAAAATAATCATCCCTACTTTCTAATAAGCAGTGAAGACTAACCATGGGCCTGGGATGTGTAAGGACAGGTCATGAATTTGGTTGTTTCTCTGCTGCTGAAAAACAAAACAATCTACCTCAGCCACCCCTGATTCAGAAGCCAAGAGCAGCGATTTGAGCTGCAAAATGTCTTTAGAGCAGTGCTTCTTGGTCCTGGCTGCAACTGTGACAAATCTGTAGTGATTTTTAAAATACTTAATGTCTGGTTCCTATCCAAGATCAATTAGATCGGGTATGACCCAGATCACACTATGTTTAAAAAGCATCAGTGGTGATTCAAATGTGCAAACTAGGTTGACAACACCACTTAATGTTAAATTTAGGTTGCTTTTGCCTAAAGATGTAGGCCCAGCAGGGAGTACACAGTATGATTTAACTAATTCCCTATGCCTGCATGGAGATCACTTTACTCAAAACGAGCAGACTGCAGTGTACACCTGTGTATTTTTGAGCCTCCAACTAAACTTTCTATTCTCTTAAGTTCATTACTAATAATTATTCTGTATCACCAATTTAAGCCTCTTCACTTGGCCCTATTTATATTCCTATTGGTAATTAAACTGTCATCCTCTTAGTTATCATCAATTTGGTTATGTATATATTCCATTCTTTTGTCTGAAGTTAGGTGTAATTCAGTTGGGTAAGTTTAACAGCCATCATTATACACATGTTTTCTAAATAGCTACTTGTAGGTGAATTTACCTCGTGTTGATGGCGAACTGCCCATAAATGTTCAGCCAGCTGGAGAACTCCTTTGGCTAAACATTGTCACAATCTATTTCTTTTATTTTTTTAAGGAATTTAATTTACTGAGATGGTAGTAATAGCCCATTCCACTTTGCACTATAGGGAAGAAAGGATATTTTTATCTATTTAAAAACTAATAAAGACTCTCACTGTTGTAAATATTCAAACCTCCCAATTATTTCCATCAAGCGATAAATTTAAAAGATCAAGAAAAAGAATTAAACCCCCAACATGTTAGCAAATAAGCAATAATGACAAGGAAAAACTTAGGGGAGGATCATTAAATTTATCTCTGCTTTAAAGCAACCTGATGCTCAAATATTAATAGGTAGGGGGACTATAAAAGGATGTCCTCTGACACTGGAAATAATAAGCACTGACACATAATTGACGAAATTAGCCATTTGTAATAGTAAATCGTAGGAGAAGATGATCTATATGTTTGAGACTACAGAGAATAGTTTGCAAAAGCTGTTCTCAAATCATCCACTCACCCATCCCCAACTATAGCTGCTACCCATGCCGCCGATCACAGGGCTTATTTACTTGGCTCTAACTGTGAGACCATGCTCTCGCATGTATCCCCACGCTCACATTCTTGTATTTCCCCATCTCTACAGAGCAGTCCCTTTACAGACTACCTCCATTAGTTCCTATTTCACAATGAAGCTAAACTGAATAACTAGATTGTTTGACATACTCCAGAGGAGTTAGACAAATTCACTATGCTGTACTTCATTATTTTTCTTGGCCATCACCCAGAATATAACCTCTTCTGGAAATCAAGACCTCCTTCACTCCATTTCTGTAAGATTATTTTTGGTTTTCTCTACCCTAATCTTTTTTTCTGCTTTTCCAACAAAAAATTCTACCCTCACCTCTCAAACCCTGGCTTCATGACTAACTACCCTTCACCCCAAACTACTTCAGTGAAATGTGTATAGCTTCATCTGCTGTGTATTATGATTTAATTTTATGTGGCTTCTGTATGGAAACTCAAAGTACCATTTGTCAGGACCGCAAATAATATGTATTTATCATTCTGAAAACATGAAAAGGCTCCATGATTGTTTTAACTCATCACATAGTAAAACTCATTGATTTAGACTAAGTAGGCCAGGTACTGTGGCTCATAACTGATGTCCCAGCACTTTGGGAGGCCCAGGTGGGAGGATTGCTTGAGGCTGGGAATTTGAGACCAGCCTGGGCAACATAGTGAGAACATGGCTCTATATACCAGGATATAACTCTTCAATGAAAGCCATAAATTACATAGCATTTTAAAAAATATAGCTTATGTCATGTGAAACAGGGAGTTTATGTTTAACTAACATCAACAAGTTACTAGTGTCTTTTCACTTCTATTGCCTTGATGGGTAGAGTTTATGTCATATGACTGATGGTAAAGAGAGAACTGGGTGTGCAAGCAGAGTCTAGGAGGATTGAGGATAATAAAACAGATGATAGAATGGCATTCTCTTCCTGCATATTGCCTAGGATTGAGGCAGTAGGAAGTAATGAAAAGGTTCCTAAAAGATTTTGTAACACATTGAGCAAAGGTGGCATATATTTGCTAGGGGGTTTATTCTCCCTTATTCTGGGAAAAAAACGTGTTTTCATACCCTTTAGTTAGTGGCATAACATTCTTTGCACTGTGGACTAAATGCTCGTGTCTTTCCAAAATTCATTTCTTAAAAGCCTTCACCCCAAATGTGACTATATTTGGCAATGGGGCCTCTAAGGAAGTAATTAAAGTTAAATGAAGTCACAAGGGTGGGTTCCTGATCTAATAGAATTAATGTCTTTATGAAAAGAGATAACAGAGACCTCTCTCTCTTTCTGTCCTTGCACATAATGGTCATGTGAGCACACAGTCTGTGGCCACTTACAACCTAAGAGTCCTCAGAATGAAATCTACCTTGAAAGCATCTGAATTTTGGACTTCTGGCCTCCAGAACTGTAAGAAGCAAATTTATGTTGTTTAATCCACCTAGCCTATGCAGACGAGTTAGGATGACCCAAACATATGAACAGAGATTTTGGTTCTGTGAGGTGTAGTGCTGCTCTAAGAAATATCTAAAACTTTGGGCATGGTTTTGGATCTGGGTCATGGGTAGAGGCCAGAAGAGTTTTGAGATGCATGCTAGAAAAATACTACGTTGACATTATTAAGAGATTGTTGGTAGAAATGTGGAAGATGTTAAAAGCAGTTCTGGTGAGGAATCAGAAATAAAGAAGGGGGTTAGAGGGTATTCTGCTCATTGTAGCATTTTTAGATACACCTCCTTGCCTCTACCCACTGGTTGTATTATATATATTCTTTTTAGAGAATATATAGACACCATAAAGAGAATGGTGGAAGAAGTATGGATGATAAAGGTCATTCTGGTGAGGTCTCAGATAGAAACTAGGACCAGATTACTGGTCACTGAAGTCTTTGTAAAAAGAACTCAGCTGAATATGTTGTAGTGTTTAGGGAAAGAAACATTTGTTAATAATGAAACTAGATTTTTATCTAAGGAGATTTCTAAGCAAAATATTGCAGGTGCATCCTGGATCCTGCGGACTGCCTATAGTAAAACAATCGGATGCAAGAGATGAATTGAAGAAGAAATTATTAATCAGAAAGGTATCAGAACTTAAAGATTTGGAGAATTCTCAGCCCATGCATATTGAAAAAAAGGAGAAAGCATGTTCTAAAGAGAAAAATAAGGCTGTGACTGGACCGTTACTTGACAAAATGATTATAGAATCATATGAGCTGAAACACCGCCAGCTTGAACTAAGGGAGACAGAGAAAGTGGAAAAGAATGAAGAAAGACTGCTGCACTTCCGGGGTCCCACAGAAGAAGACTATAGAGCTATCCAGCTGCCACTGTAACTTTTCCAGAAAGAAAAGGGAAGAAAAGGAAAGTATGACCTGGAGGCTCTTCAGAGATCATCTGTGCTTCCCCTCGACCACAGGTCTAGGGGGAAAGACTGATTTCTCCTTGGTTTCAACATGCCAGGCTGTTGCTGTCTGGAGCCTTGGGGGTAGGACCCCTGCCTGGAAAATTGTGGAAGTGGAGCTGCCACCTAAAGTCCTGGATGTGGAGTCACCACCCATGTTGGTCCAGAAAATGGACCACCACCCATGTGGGCCTGGAAAGTGGGGCATTGAGCCAAAAAAGATTATTTTTGAGCATTAATATCTAATGGAATTTGCCTTGTAATGAAATTTTTTGGGACCCATCACATCTTTCTTTCTTTCATTTCCCTCTTTTAGAATAGATCATCTATTCTATGCATGTCACAGCATGGTACTTTGAAAGCACATAATTTGTCTGGTTTCTCAGTTCACAGCTAGAGAGGAACTTTGCCTCAGGATGAACTATATACTTTCATTCTCACCATATCTGATTTAAGTGATATTATTTGAGAGTTTAGAGTTTATACAGGAAAAAATTAATGTTTTGGGGGATGCTTGGATGAAAGAAATGTATTTTGCATGCAAACAGAACATAAAATTTTGGGAAGAGGAGCAGAATATTACGTATGAATCCTAACCCACAACATGGCTATATTTGGACGTAGGGACTCTAAGGTAAATGAGGTCATAAAGTTGGATCCCTGATCCAACAGGATTAGTGCCCTTAACAAGATGTGATGTTAGAGAGTTCTTTTTCTCCCCTTTTCTCTTTCCCCACGTGTACAAAGGAGAGGTCATGTGAGCACATGGGAGATGACTACTGTCTACTAGCCAAGAGAAGGGGCCCGAGAATAAAACCTTCATTACTACCATCTTAAGCTTGGACTTCTGACCTCCAGAACTGAGATAAATAAGCTTCTGTGGTTTAAGCCAACCCATCTGTGGTATTTCGTTATGAGAGCCTGAGCCTGCAAACATAGGCACCGTAACCATGGCCTGGTAAGGCTTTGCATGAAGACACGTGGATGATATCACGGTGATGGAAGAAATGTAGCTTCAGCGGATGGACCATTTTGTGAGAAAGTATTGTTAGTTTTCTGCAGATGTCCAAAAACATTTCTTAAAAGAGAGATGAGTGAAATTTTGCATTTTAATAATTAAGTAGTTGTTTTGGTGACATTTATCTAATTTATAGATTCTGGACTGAGAAGAAGCCCACAGAGATCATTATATGAACTCAGTCCAGATCCTGTGATCTTTCTCGAGAGAAAGTACCTCTGAATTTAGGGAGGAGCCTACAGGAACATGACCATTTATCCTTTCTTGAACATCTTCCTCCATTACCTAGTGCTGATCTTCATAGCATTAAAATGAGGATGGAGCTGGGAGAAAGTTATACATGAGGGGAATTGCTCCTTTCTTGTTCCTTACTTTAAACATCCAATCGAAATCCAAGCTGAAGCCATTTATATATATTTAGGTTCTATTTCTCATGGTATCCAACCAGGGACCAAGGAATTAATACATTTTCTTAAGATCCTGTAAGGCACAGTTTTCCTTGTCTTTCTATCTTATCCGAAAGGACCATGACTACTGAAATGGAGTTCAGCCATCTCTAATTTAATTCATATCTTCGGACTGCATATTGATTAACCTCCTTTTACCCCCTCAGTTCTTTTAATCACCCTTTTCTGACCTGCATTGTGCCCAAGGAGACTTATTCTATGACTAGATTCCTTCAACAAGTTTCCTTGTTGCCTAATGTTGATTCATTTCTGTAAGTGAGAGGCACCCAGTGGCAGTAGGAGAGGTAGTATTTATTTCTTGCCAATCATTTCTGCCTTGCTACAGTTCTGAAGCGGCTGGTTTCTGCTACAACAGTAGTTGTCAACCTGGGACAATTTTGCCTCCTAGCAAACTTTAAGCAACGTCTGGAAATATTTTTGGTTGTGGAGACTGATGTCTACTGGCATCTAATGCGTAGAGGCAAGGGGTGTTTCTAACCATGCTACAATGTGCAGAATACCCTCTATCCCCAAAGAACAAAGAACTCTGATCTAAAACGTCAAAAGTGCAGCTGCTGAGCAACCCTAAGCTACACATATAGCTCGTGTTAGATGAGCCCTCTAGACAAGCCCTCCTTCACAGTTACAGCTCCTACTTAGGTCTGATAATCCTGTATCTTTATCTCTTCAGGCAAAGTGGAGTGGTAACAGCTTCCTGCTGTTCTGTTTGAGTTCTTCACCACCCTTTGCAGATCCTCCCCTTAACACTGCCCTTATTTCTACAAAATTCCCTCTATTAAATTCTCTTTTTATTCAAACTTTTGAGGTATAGTGTTTCTTTCTGGGATTCTGATTAATATGGATATTTGACATTATATTAATTTGCTTATTACATTAGAGGTGGAATAACGAACTTCTCACATCTGTACTAACTGCTCACATTTATTGAGTGATGCCTCTGTGCCACCCATCTTTATGACTGCTTTATGTGAACTGAAAACGTATTTAGTGTTCACAGCAATGCTATGATTTGGGTGGTAATACGGTTCTCATTTAAAAAACGGTAAAATTGAGGCACAGGTGTGAAATGACTTGCCCAAGATCACATACTGAAAGTGGCGCTTAAGCCTTGTGCTTAACTACTATCTCAAGTAGGTGCACTGCCTTCAGAAATAAACCTGTCCATGATGTCGACAACACAGAAAGCTGCTTTGATTTGTCATCCAAATGTGCATCACAAACAGATTTTCATAGTGTCATTCATTCAAGACAAGTCTTGATGGCAATTCATGCTCCCACTCTACAAAGCATTTGTTTTATTTTCTGTTTTAATTCTTTCCTATTGTCCTGCTTCCCTTTTTCTCTTCCTTTGTTTGGTTTTCCCTTATTTTTATATGCCTCTTCATGTCCCCTCTTGCCTACTTTTGCAAAATGTAGGTTTGTCAAAAATCCACCTAAATGTTAAAATGGACTGGGCTCCGTCTTTTGAATCAGTATGACACTGGAACCATTAGAAAGAGAAAGAATCTATGAAATATTAATTAAGCCTATTCCTAGGATTTAATGAAACATTAGGCATAAAATCATTTAAACATTAATTTTCTAAGTGCCAGTGCCTTGAAATGACAACATAAGCCAATTTCATAAGAAATTTGTGACATATAATCGATCAATTCTTAAAGACTATACTTAGGAAACAGAAAAAGCGGGTTTTAATTTATGTGCATATTATATACAGATAGAATCTTTTTTAAAAGACAAAGTGATATAACTTATGTAAGGTCTTTGGTTTGAAATATAAAATGTTGCTATTTGAAAGCAATAGCTTTTCTTCTCGAAGGAATTATGACAGTAGGGGAAAAGTATATTTGTTGCTTTACATGCAACAATTCTAAGAATGGTAACTTCTTCCACCCATTTTTCACAACAAATATGCACAACACTTAATATCAAAAGCTGAGCTCAGCCAACACTATGATAAATTGATGCATTGGTGGATGAGTGAAATAAGACTTTTTCTTAGAATAAATGTTGGCTTTTCATTAGGTCAACTCAGAATTTAAAGCATGCAAAAGAACTACCTAGGAATTGATGGTTTCTTTAAAGAGATTTAAATACTCTTTCTAGAGATATACAAGTTATTTATGCTTGGGAAAAACATTTTTTCCCCCAATTTCTATGGCTAATTGAGAGAAAGCACAACATAAGTGTCCTAAATTTGTGTATGGAAAGATTTAAGACTGGAAGTTTATGACTGTAAATTCAAAGAAGACTACTTTGTCCTTTTACAGCCACGAATATATCCTCAAAAATTCGAAAAATTAAAAATTCCTTATTACTTGTGGCAACTTTCTCTAAATATCTTTCATGCAGTGTGAGAACAAAGATATTTTCAGGTGGCATTACATAGGCTTCACTGAAATTAGGATCTGATTCCTACTGCATGAAACCGTTAAAGATTTCTGAAGGATTTAGAGAGATTAATTGCCTTTCTCATTATTTGTATGGTATAGAATGTGCTGGGAACATGCTATATTGAAATTCACATAAAGCTGACACAAAGAAATGTCTTCTCTTGATGTATATACATCAATCTAGTTAGTGTTATGGAGAGGTTTGAACAAAGATATCAACTGAAGCATCTTGTGGCACAGTTTAAGAAATAACTCATCTTTCTTTGAGTGCTTCCTCATAATCACTAAATAGTTTTAGAAACAGTGGGGCTATGAAGAATGTATTTCATTTCAGGGCCATAAAAAGAGGCAGGTGAAGGTCATTAACATCTTCATAGGACTAGGAGGAATATTCTGCTCCCTTGGTTTCATAAACTGCCACCGCTATTTAAGGAACTCTTATTTTTTAGACTAAGTCTACCCTGAAAAACACACAAAAAAGTGGTCTCTAATGATTCCACTATATTCTTATTCCCAGTCACATGTAGGACTACAAATATGTCCAGATAACTACAATGAAGAAATTAATTTGGAAGATATTTGCAGTCTACTTTTGCCTTATTCTGTGTTTTCTGTGAACACACACTTCTCTATTGCGAGTAGTTGACTGTGATAATATAAGCTAATCTGTGAAAATAACGAGATGAATTTCAGGTTTGAGACATCTCTAAATAAAAGCTCATTTGCAACTGAAAAACAATAACATGATTTCTTTTTATAACAAAAAATAACTTGTATTTTTTTGGAATGCTGAGAAGTGGTTCTTCCATACCAGCAGCAATAGCATCAACTCTAAACTTCTTAGAAATATAAAGCATTTATCCCCATTCCAGACCTACTCGATCAAACCTCTGGGCTTGGGCCCAGGAATCTGTTTGAGCAGGCCTGACATTATTCTAATGCATACTGTGGCCTTTAGAGTGGGAGCTGAAGACTCACCAGATGTAGTCAATCAGTCTGAAAGTTAATTGACTAGAGTTACCAAATAAGAGGAAAATGTAAGTTTCAAAAAAGGGGCTTAGATAGAAAATGGACTTTTTTCATAAACAATACCAAGTTTTAAATGATGAATAATATAATACATG